GCTTAACCACTGTGCCCCCAGAGTTCCTACCAAGGTGGGTAGGGGCTCCTTGTTTGAAGCAGGCCTGTAGGCCAGAGATAAAGGTCATTGTAGATGGAGGGTGGTGTGACCGTGGGCCCAGATCTTGCAGGGCGTTCTTGAGTTGCTGCTGTTGCTCTCAAAAGCACCTTGTTTGGTTAATGAGTTACATGACTCTCTTATTAGTCAGAAATGCTTGTTTGTGTAAGAGAGCATGCCTCTTTGTTTTTTAACTTTTGGTTGTACACTGGGCACAGGTTTACAGTGCCAGTCCGGTTTCCACTCGGTTGTTTGTAACAGTTTGCCTCATGCTGTTGGTTGCAATCCCCACAAGGTGATATCCCTTCTCCCACTTTCTCCCTGTGTTCCCCACTTTCATTCCTCTGCCTTTCCCAACCTTTCTGAACGTGCTTTTTTGAGACTATGCTACCCTTTGGATCTGGAAGGTTAGATTGTTATTCTAAGGAGGACAAAACCTCCCTGGTGTCGTTGTTCCCCCTTACAGACCTATCGATTATCTGACTGGGATTTGACCACAGGGGTGAGTTCGGTGATGGACCTGAAGGTGGCTAAGGGTCACGGTCTTGAGGTTCCACCAGCCTACCTACCCCACCAGTGTGCTCAGCCTTTTATGATTTTGAGTTCTGTGCCACATTGTTCTCCCACTCTGTAACCAGGACCTTCTCACGTGCCCTTCCAGAGCAGTTGGTCGTGGTAGCCAGGCACTGCCTGGCTCTTCTGGTCTTGAAACCCTGGAGACTGCTGGTTACGTGCTCCCTTAGACCATGGGACTCACCGTGTCCATGTGTCTCCAACGTTCTGCAGTCTCCTTTGCTCCAGAAAGGCACGTCATGTGGTAGCTATGAAGAAAGTGATGACATCAGCAGTAATTTTCTCTTTTATTTTATTTTTATTTATTATTTTTAGCAGTGATTTTCAATGCCAGACTTAGATGTCATAAGATTAGAACACAAACATAAGCTATTTTCTTTGTTTTGTTTTTCTTTTTCTTTTTTCTTTTTTTTTCCTGGGAAAT